TTGTTTTCTGGTTTTTGGGGCTCTGTCTCCGTCTATCCTGTCACTCTGTTCCCACCACCCCCTTCCAAGTCATCAGCATAAATACCTTTCCAAGCTGATGTCAGGTCTGAAGAAGGATAGCTGCACTCCAAATGTTAACTCTGTTTTCTCTCCTTCAATGTTGCCGGACTCCTGAGTTTCTCCATCAGTTATTTGTGCTTTTCTATTGCCTAACCCAGCCAATATTTACCTTCTATTCCATTAACTTTACTTTTTGTTTAATAATGTAGGTGCAACCCTGCTGAATGTCTACTGGAAATTTTCACTTCCATACACGTTGGTCTTTCATCAGCACCATCAACTTGAATCATTAACTGTTTCTGTCCCTGATGCTGCCTGACCTGCTGAGTTTTTTTCTTCAATTTTGAATTTCCAGCATCCACACAAATGAATGTTGTTCATAGGCTTTCTTCACCCCTATGATAGCCTCTCTTTAAAACAAAAATCAATTGGGCTGTGATGTACTCTTTAGAAATCCATGTGCATTCACTTTAATCAGGTCAAATTTCTCCTAAGTGCTCAATCATTCTGTATTTTATTATGGATTGCAATAGCTTTAGAATGGCTAATGTTGGACTGTCTTGCTCATCATTCTTAAATAATGCAGCTACAATTTGGAATTTTCCAATCCAAGAAGGTAATGTCTGAATTGAAAACACTTTGAAAGGATGCTTTACCTGTAACATTTCATCACCTTCCTTTCAAATCATGGTGTGGAAATGATGTCCTCATGGTTTGTCAATCTTTTAGTGTCATTGCTTTTTCAAATGCTGTGGATGCTGACACAAACTAGTTATCACCAAGTCTGCCATATTGTTATTTTAATTTGCAGTGTTATCCACGTTTGATTTTGAAGGACATACATTTCCCTTGACTGACCCCTTTCTTCTAATGTTATTTATTAATGCTAACATTATTTTGTTAATCCCTTTCTTAGTTTTTGTGTATTCTTTTCTGCAGCTTTTTAAAATTTTTTTTTTGTAGATTATATCTCTGCCAGACCCTTCTAGTTTTGTTATCTCCTAATGTCTAAACATCCATCCTTTAACTTGGCAAGGAGACCTCTTGTCTCTTGGGAATATATTGATCCTGAATTAAGTTAAAATATATTTGTATGCTTTTCAAAGTTCATCTGTGATTTTATCCAGTAGATGTTTGACCCACTCGATGTCATCAGTCTCTGTTTGATCCCATTATGTTGTCCTCAACAAATCTTGAATCTTAATAGCTGTTACATTTTTTCTTTCAAAACTAACATTAAATTTGATCATGTAATGACCACAGTTTTATAAATGTTTTCTTACTGTTAAATTGTTTATTAAGTCTCACTCATTAATTTACTAAATCTAGTAATCAGGATTACTTGCAGCCAGGCTGGAAGTCTGGTGAACATAATGTTGTGCATCTATGAGGAGCAATCAGGTTGAGGTAATTTGGCTGGAATGAGGAGTTTCTAGAGAAGGGAGTGCTACTTCTTTTGTAACATTTATTTTTTCTGATCACATTGATTCGTCTAAGTTTTAACCATTGTCAGCTTTATATCTGAGCCACAACAAATATGGTGATGCAAAAGATGCTTTACTCTGGAGGATACTTCAAGAAAATGTTGGCTTCTTCATCCAAGTTTGATTCTTCACAACTTATAATTGACTCTCATTTTTGCAACAACCATGTTTATTTATTTAATCAAATAAACAAAGAGCTTTTCAGAAAGAAAAAAACTTTCCAATGGGATGGGTTAAAAAAGCAGATTCATCCATAAAGTTAATGTCGGATAGCACAGTTGCAGTCCTAATGTTGAGTAGTGGTAGAGTATGTGTATTTTGTGAATTGAGCCAAAAGTGTTTGCTAGATATATTTTATTCCTCTGTTGTTTTAATGAGTTTACTAATAAAATAGCTGTTTAATAAGAAAGCATGGAATTGCTCATGACTCCTAAATTTGAATTGGAGGACACATGTAGGAAAAAATACTTTGAATGTGGTAGGGCAGATTGAGAGGAAGTTCAAAAGCATGTGTGATTGTTGGCTTTATTCGTGATATAAAGACAAGGAGGTTAAGCTAAAGTTGTACTGACTGGACCTCAGTTTGACTATTGGTTCAATATGAAACACCACACCAGTTATGAATAATGAGCTGGACTTGATAAATAGTAAACTTTGACGAAAAAAAAATTAAGGAGCAGTGATTGGTAGATGATTAAAGTAGTGTTGAGTTTGAAGCAAAGAAGTTAACAGCTACTAAAATTTTAGCTTTGTCAAGGCTAACTTTACTGCAGTGCCAAGACCTTGGGGATTTACTCGAATGTTATTAGGGTTAAAAGACTTTGGGTAATGTAGAAAGAGCACAAAGCTGGGGTGATTCTACTTAAAGCAGTGAAGGTCAAGAGGTGATTTGATGGAGGCAAAACAAAACAGTTTTACGAATAAATAAGGAGAAACTAATTCCAGTAGCAGAAATGTCAGTAACCAGTAGAGAACATTGGCAAATGAACTGCATGTGAAATAGGGGAATGTTCGTTTAAAGAGTGCGTGGTTGCATTTTGCCCATTACCAAAAATGGTTGGTGAGGCAGATTCAGCTGTAACATTCAAAAGGTAATTGAATAACTACTTGAAACGGAGGGGAAAAAGTACAGGGCATAAAGAGAGAGAACATGGGAGTAGGACTACTTGAATGGATCCAGTAAAGAACTGAACTGTGCAGTTGGCCAAATGGTCTCTGTTTGTGATGCGTCATTCACGATTTGTACTCGATATTAGTGTGACAGAACCAAAGCATCTATCTACCATATTATTGCCCTACTTCTGATCATGCTACATGTGGAATTAGAGACAGTTCCCATATAGAAATAGCCTAACATCATTTTAAAATAAACTGCATGATTTAAGACCTGCACTTTATCTAGTTTACATTACAATTTCAGATTTTATTGGTGAGTTTTGCTTCTGAGAGTTGAGGTTAGCTTTGAGAATATACACCATTATCATTGCTTCTGTTCAGTTGTCTGTTCACTCTTTAATCTTTGTCAGTTTATAGCCCAAGTCACGATTCTAGTAAAACATTTAATCTGCCCTTTTTTCGGAAATGAAGAAAACTCTTGAGGACAAACAGTATGACCAATAACTGAAAAAACACATCCAGGATTTTCTAATTGATCGCTGATATCTGAGCTGGCCACAACTTATGTTGCGCAGGCAAGGCATGCTGTGGGTCATAAAGGGCAAGGCCTTTCTTCAAATCTGACGTTCTGTTCGCTTCCAAAGAAAAATAGCTGCTGTGAAAACCTAATCTAATCATTGTTGTTAAGATGATAATCATAACTTCAATTAGATTAGATTTTTTTAAAAATGTAATTTTGAAAGTAATATTAATAAGTCAGAAGTAGAGGATGCAGTGCATCCATGGCTGTTGAGGGTATTAAATTGGCGAGGGGCTTCTAATCCTCTTTATTGACATGGGGGTCATGCAAGAATGTGGTGAATTGGAAATGTTTCACCCTTTTTTTTAAAAGAAATTTAAGAATAAGCGCAGCTATGACACGATAAGATCTTGTGCGTGGTGGGAGGGAATGAGAGAGCACATGTCTACGTGCATCAAAGTGAGGGGGCAGAAAGGGTGAGAGAGCCCTGATAGTGAGCAAACTAAGTACAACAATAATGTGTCATTTAATAGGTTTTTGTTAGCAAAGTTGAAGTTCATGGAATTAAAGTTCATGGGCAGAAAATTAACTGACAGGAAACAATAATGTTTAGTTGCTGTCATCCAGCCTAAGAAGGTATGCAGTGGGGTTCCCCAGAAGCCAGTTTTTGATTTTCTTTATTAAATATTAATATTTCAAACTCTGGTATCTGAGGAAGAATTTGTATGTTTGCAGATGAGACACAACTTGAAAGCATTGTTGACAGAGGTGAATGTTATTAGATTTCATGAGGGGATGGACAGGTCTGCCAGAATTGGAGCACATTTAGAAGATGTCATTTAATTTGGAGAAATGTAAGGTGATGCATTTTACTAGGAAGAATGATGAGAAGGAAGTAAAGGATGCAACACTGGGTGCTGGAACAGAGGTCTTTAGGTATCTTTGCATGAATCATTGAGGGTTTCAGAACATGTTGACAAAACTGCTTAGAAAGCATAAGAGATCCTGGGTTTTATAAATAGGGCCATAGAGTACAAAAGCAAGAAATGTATAAAATCTCATTAGGCATCAGTTGGCGCATTGCGTACATTTCTGGGTACTACATCTTAGGAAAGATATGAAAACTGTCAAGAGTTGCAGGGGGAAAAATTTAGGACAGTGGGTGGGATTAAAGACTTCACTTACAAGATAAACAAGAGAAGCCAAGGTGCCTCTCTTTTAGATGAGCACAGGAGATTTGGTACAGATGTTTGAAGTATTGAGTCTGGACAGAGCAGATGAGGACACTGTTCCCATTGCTGAAAGCGATGAAAGCCGAAGTGGACAGATGTGATTAAGGTGATTGACAAAAACTCCTTATTTTTCTGTATTTTGTTTTTTACAGCCTGTATGTTTCACTTTTCAGGTATGATGAAATATATAAACCCAAAATGTCGACCTATCTTTTCTGTTTATTAATACTAACATATCCTACATAGATAGGAACAGGATGGGATGATTTAGCCCATCAAGCTTTTTCTGCTATTCAGTATGACCAATCTGTGTGTTCTTTGGGCTTCAACCAGTTGGGGAAATTTGCTTCATGGCCATTCTGTCTCGTGTTTCTAGCTTCAAAATGTGTTATAGATGCTTGTCTGTCTTTGACTTATACTCTATTAGCATTAATGTGCATCAGGTAAGTCCTGAGACTTGGGAGGTTTCATCCGTATTTTGCTGATTAGTTTTTTTAACCTTTATCCAAAACTGAATTGAGGTAAACAATTGATTAATTTTGGTTTAATATCTATTCCTGATCAGAAAGCTGTCCTTTGTGTTTTCAGCTACTTTCGAAAAGGTAACTACTTTGGTATGGCATGCTTTGCCAACATGCCAGTGGAGAGCGAGCTGGAACGAGGCGCTCGAATGAAATCTGTTGGAATTCTGTCCCCATCGTATACACTCCTGTACAGATACATGCATTTCCTGGAGAATCAGGTCAGGTGAGGGCTCTTGTGTTAGTAGCCCTTAATATGTGATGAATCATTTCACGAGAATGATGTAAATATTCACACATCGAAAAATGTTTGCAATTCAAGTAGTTGTAAACTAAATAGGTATTCCTCTCCAAGCAGACTGAAAGATCCTTTCACTAACTCCCACCTAATGTACTCTGTTACTACTAAACCACATGAACTCTGTGCTGCTAACTGAATGTTTCCTGGTGTAATGTGGAATTGAATAGACTTGTTTTACTGATGTGTTGTTAAGAAAACCTCTTGCATCAATTCTGAGCTAGTGTAAACTTTCCAAGTGTAAAATGTGATAATTATTAGATGGCTGCCTAGTGCCTAACTGCTTTATGGCCCTGAAAATACTGACTTCTCTTGGTGTTGAGTCATTTGCTTGTGTTTTTGAAATATTTTGTATCTTTCTTGTGCCTTTTTACTGATTCATTATTTTAAAATCTTTTGATGTAATACATTCTCATCCAGTTTCACACATCCACAACAATTACAAAAATCTATTTAACTTGAGTCATTCTCATTTATGCATTATTCCTTTGCATTTTTTGATTTGTTTCCATATTTGAATGAAACAAGTTTTCAACTGAAACTCCAGTTTTCGGATCTGATGAAGTGCATATAAACCCAAAATTGCAACCTGCTTTTCTTTTGTTTTCTAATACTGACGTATCATCTGTGTAATTCATCAACAATCAATTTGATCTTGTGGTTATTTGAATGTGATTTTGTAAATGTAGGTACCTTCCAACAACTTGCTATACTTTGAGTCACTAATAGTAATAGCTGAAATTCAGTTTTGAAGGTATTGCATTTCCTCCTGGACTTAACTAAGCTTTTCCTCGCATTGCTTACAGAAAAATAATTGCAATTTTAATTTTCACTGCCTTCTTACCCTCTGCATAACTATGTAGAGCAACATTCAAGCCTGGAACTTTCCTTAGTAGTATACAACCTAGATTAAGAACCGCTGTCAGATTATGCAATCAGATATGCTGCATTTTTCATACTGTTTGTTAGTCCTCACTGAACCGGAGATTCATCTGTTTCCTTTGGCACTGTAATGTCACCAAATGTTTTGGGGGCTTAGGAATTTAATGTTCTGTGCACCAGGCATCTCTAAATTTGTCTTTTTTAAAAATTTATTTCTTTCTGCACGTCTTTGGGTTCAAAGAGCAGCAACATTAAAATATGCATGTAGCATACCCATAATCCTATACTTGCAATATTATTGATTCTGCAGATAACAGAGAAGAGACATATTGGCTGCCTATTCTGCCCAGCTTGTTGTATTGAATGCTTACTATCCAAAGTGAATCTCAAGGTTTGGTGCACAAGTTAGCTAAATGAACAATTTGGTTGGATGAACTCGACCATTGACAAATAGAACAAAACAAAACAAAACAAATTCGACCATTACAAATTGTACTGAGAGAAAATACATTCATTATGCATCCACTTCACTTCAACCTAGAGGCAAAAGGTTCAGGTAGCCATTGAATGATTTAGGCCTTGTGCTGTGATTTATTTTGATAAAGTTGTTTGCTTATTGCCAGACATACAGTATGCACAACTTCTAAAAGCTATATCCAAGAAAAGAATGTTGCAGTTCCCACCCTGCCCCCCACCCCCCCACCCCCATAAACCTAACAAACTCGGTGTGTCCAGATGAGGTAGAACTGTATTAAATAAATTGGGCGTCAGTTCTTTTTCTAAAGGTAGGCAATTTTTTTTAAAAAACCCTCCACACTAAAGATATTGAAGTGAAATTCTGAAAGTTACAAAATCCCCGAATAGCTCAGAATATATTGTATATTTTTACAGGCATCAACTTGAAATTCCTGGGCATTATACACAATTAGAAGCCTTTTATGAAGACAAGAAAGGTGTTTTACCCACAGCGATGAGCAGCAAAGGAATTCCTACATCCCTTCAGCCTCTTCACTGGTTGCCAACTGTTAATAAATACATGTATCCTGAGATGAAGGTAAAAAGAACATAACTATTTAAAGCATTTGGTGTATGAAAGTCACATAATTATTCAAAGGGGTTTGCAAACCTAAATAATCTGGTAATTACTTCATGCGATATCATTGTCATACTGAACTCTGAACAATGCTAATTTGGCCCAAGTTGAATTTCGTAATCATTTGAAAATTAAGTTCTTTATCAAAATAATTCTCTTGGCTTTGTTTTAAACAATTCCACTCATGCTTTTTGTATTAGGGTTAGATGTTAAAAGCTTCAGTTTATAGTGTACAATATGAGTTGGGACGTACATTCTCCACTAACATTTTTTGAAGAATGAAAGTTTTGAGCAGATTAAACTGAATATAATAACTTGAACTTTTGGACTGATCGGGAAATGTGGCACATACGTTACAGCTTCAGGTGCCCACTTCGTTGGGGGAAAATCCTAAAGCTATTTCCTTTTGTATGTGTCGCCTTGTAACTCGTGTCACAAGTTCTACAAGAGCAGAATTTATTTCTCCATAGAATACGTGGAGTGTAATTTGAATGCAAAATTTTAATTAATGACCAACCTGCACTTTATTTATTTAGCGCATTACTTCATTGGGAAATCCTAGACCAGTTCAATAGTGAAGTGATTTGAACTTGGTTGAATAGTTGGGGATTTAAGAAGCGTCTTAAAGCAAACTTGAACACCAAAGGGTAGACGTTCCAGACATTGGACTTGAGTAGCTAAAAGTATACCCTATAAAGTAAAAGGAAGAAAGAGAAGGATGAGAAGGTTATTTTTATGAATTTCCTTCACCAGTGCAGCAGGCTTTTTTTTTTCAATAGGTTTGGCAGAAGTGACTCAAGACAGTCCACTGTTGGGCATGAATAAACTAGAACGGTTCAATGCTACATTGATAAATCAAAGTATAGAATTGATAAAGACTCAATTAGGAATAAGATTTAAATGTTGCTTTACATCTCCTAATCCTGCTTCCTTCTGTACCTATGTCCATCCATTATGAAAAGCAAGCGACATTGTTTGACTTTACTTTGTCATGTTGTCTTTGTAACAGAATGGTGAGAATTCAGAAATAAAGCAGGTAGTGTGAATGAATGAATTTTCTTCTATGTTCAATCAACTTATTAGAGTTCAGGCTTGGCCAACCCTTATGAGATAGCATGGCTTCTGCCCAGGAAGGGCTAATTTCACTTCTGTTGCCTCACATTCCATTGTGTTTGAATAATTGATCTTTCCTCTCGGACATTCATTATATCTAAGATCAGGTTGTCATATATTTTATTTGCAGTAACCTAGTCCTTGGTCTATAAAAATGATCCACTTTGAAACATACATGTGTCTCAGTTTGGATTTTTCATTATTTGAAAATTTGCTGCCAAAAGCTTTATTCAGTCAATTAATTAACAAACAGTATTATTAAAATGTTGCTGAAATTCTTGTCTTGGAAACAGATCACTCATCCTGCAGGATGCATGTCACAGTTCATCAAGTTTTTTGGGGAGCAGATAATGGTTCTTTGGAAGTTTGCACTTTTAAGGAAACGGATTTTGATTTTTTCTCCCCCACCGGTTGGAGTGGTCTGCTATAGAGGTGCGTGCTTTGATTGAATTCAATTTTTAACACCGCTCACACTTAATAGTTTATGTAACGCTAAAAGTGAGTGTATGAAGCACAGACCATTCTGCCATTTGCAGCAGTGACTATTGGCCCCATAGTTGATATTTCCAGTTATTGGCATGAAACATTTTGTTATTGAGAGGTTCTGGCTCAAGCTGTGCAGCAGAAACCTGGAAAAATGATCAGTAACATGTTTAAACGTAACACTACTTCTGACCACAAACAAGATAAGTCATCATTTTTATTTTATTTCTGCTTGATTAAGCATAGTGAACACTTTTTGTTTTGCTTCTGAGGATATGTAATGTATGCAATATTGCAGAGAACCAAAATGGTTCTTTGATCTTGATTATCAATGCTGTATCTCAATGTGACTTGAAGTTACATAGACCACAATGGTTAGACATTGTGTGATCATACCAATCCAGCACTAGTAAGGATTTTGAGATTAGTTCCCATTTTTTTTGTTAGTTGGATCTCCACAGTTCTGATGGTCCACTGACCCTTTTGTTATCCGAGCAAGTAACCTAGCCCTCCTCTCTACCCTCCCTCACCCTATTCAGCACGCTACCACTTTGAATCATCTCGCGGTCTCTCTCTCTCTTCCCCTCCATTTCTTCTATTTTAGTTTACTGTTGTTGCTGTCTGGCCAATGTTTCACTGCCTGGGATCAGAGGAGTGCCTGAAACCAAGCCTTATTTCTACATCAGTGTAGCAGATATTGAAACTCTGGAGACTGAAGTATCTTATGTGGCCTGTAAGTATATGAGATTCTGAAATAACTTTCCTTCATATCTGTAACTGTCTTTGAAGACCTAACAGCAGGATTTTTGGTTCTATTTGATTGCAAAATCTCAGCATGTTTATAAAATCTCTACACAATTTAAGGAGTAACTCTTGAATTGCTCGAAAAAAATATATTTTTCTTGCACACAGCATAAGAATACCAATTCATGGGGAAAAACCCCTTGTCTCTCTTTTCCAGCAATATTCAAATTCTGTACTACCGAAGGACTAATTGTATAAATGCCAGTTGAGTATCTGAGAGTCTGATCTTGACCTCTTGATTACAAATTGCATTCCATGTTTTAAGGCACAACAGAAAAGATTTTTGAAGAAAAGAAAGATCTATACGATGTTTATGTCGATAACCAAAATGTGAAAACTGACCGTGAGCACCTTCAGCAACTACTTAAAATAAACAGTGCAGATAAGGACAAGTATCGCAAGCTCAATGACCAGAGGTAAGTAAAATCCCATTTTCATTCCTTTTTTCTTTCTCTTTTTCCTCTTTTTTTTTTGTTAAAAATCAATGATGTATTGGTTAATTAGCACCCCTTCCTATTACCTCGAGATGATCCAGGAATTGAGTCCAAAGATGTAGGTTAAGTGGATTGGCCATGCTAAATTCCCCTGAGTGTCCAGGGATATAAATGCTAGATGAACTAGCCCTAGAAAATGCAAGGTTACAGGTTAAGGGGGAAGATCTGGGTGGGATGCTGTTTGGGGACTCCATGTGGACTTGATGGGCCAAATGACCTCCTGCCACACTGTTTTGGATTCTATGATTGAGGATGTATACTCCTGATTGGTGTTCTATAATATAGGCAGGCAATGGATGACTTGAGCTTCTGTTTTTTTAATACTTGTATTGCTCTCACTCTGCAAAGGGAATTGTATATAACATGTGCTATGAAGATGCTTTATATTTAATATTGCTTAAGGGTTTAAGACTTGAAGGCTTGTGGGAAATGGGATGTGCTTCAAGTACTGTGGACAGTCAGGGAGTGGCTTCTTTAAAAGTGTTCATTGAAGGTTCACTATGGACATTGAAAGTATTTTTAACAAGACTTCCTGGAAGTTACATGATTGATGACTGCTTGTTTTACTGTAGACCCTGCTGGAGCTTTTTTTAATTGTGACTAGCTTGGAGGGGTTTTACCTAGTTCATTTGGGAGAATCATACTAAGAACAAGCTGCCCACTGATCTCTCCCATTTCTGAAAGGAAAGTTTTCTGCTTTATTTTGGGGTGCCACCTATTTGTTCTGAAAGACTGATGAAAAGAATATCTGCAAGATGGTATTTCCTGAGTAAGCTGTGAGTGCAAGACCTCAGACCACCATTTATGCCTACACGTGCCAGAACGTGAGCAAAAGACTCCACAAAATTGTATGTTTTATCTTCTTGACTACAAAACTAGCCTCTTGGCCAGAATTGTTGTTTTTTCAGAAAGCCAATCTTTACAAAAAAGTCCTGCTTTTAAACCTCTGTTTTTGAAGCATGTTTACGTGTATTTGCATGTGTTATTTGGGTATGTTTGTCGGTGAAAATACTTCTATATTATTGACTATGTAAGTTCATCAATTATTGTATCTTTATTAGATAAGTTTTGATTAAATAATAAACCCATGATTGTTTGCTAAGAAACCTGCTTGGATCTTAAGTTTAAAACCTGATATGAACAGAGACCTAGAGGTTCAGATACATAGTTCTTTGAAAGTTGTGTCACGGGTAGACAGGGTTGTAAAGAGATATTTGGTACACTTGCCTTCGTTGCTCAGACCATTGAGAATAGGCTTTGGGATGTCATGATGTACAAGACTCTGTGGAGGCTACTTTTGGAGTATGTGTATGGTTCTCGATGCCCTGGTGTAGGAAGGATATTATCAAATTGGAGAAGGTGCAGAAAAGATTCACAGGGATGTTTCTGGGCCTGGAGGGTTTGAGTTATAAGGAGAAACTGAATAGGCTGGAACCTTTTTCACTGGAGCCGAGGAGGTTGAGGGGGTGACTTTATTGAGGTTTATAAAATCATGAGGGGTATAGATAAGGTGAATAGCAAAGGCCTTTTCCCTAGGATAGGGGGGTTCAAAACTAGAGGGCACATTTTTCAGTTGAGAGGAGAAAGATTTAAAAAGAACCTGAGGGGTACCTTTTTCACGCAGAGGGTGGTGCGTGTATGGAATGAACTGTCAGAGGAAGTGGTAGGTGCAGTAACAACATTTAGAAGACATTTGGACGGGTACGTGAATAGGAAGGGTCTAGAGGGATACAGCACAAATGCAGGTAAATGGGACTAATTTAGTTTGGGGAAACTTCAACTGCATGGACGAGTTGGACGAAAGGGTCTGTTTCCGTGCCTTGTGCTCTATAAGGTATTTAATTGGTCATCTTGGTGACAGAAAAATTAATTTTATGTCATAACACATGAAGTAGTCGGACTAGAGCCATGGTGTATTCATCTAGACTTGTTTGTAACACAACATGTAAATCTTTTCAACAGGCAAATGCTACTTTATTCTCAGGAGGTGGGGGGAGATTGCAGTACCAATGAAGAAGACCTGTTCATTCTGTAAGTAGCTAACCGTAGACATGTCGGGAAAGAGAGGAGAAAGGGAATATTAAGACACAAGTCTGTTCAAGTGGACAAAGCTCTAGCTCAGATGAATTCTAATGAAGCATGTTATTCAATATTATTTGAAGTCCATCTCGATCCATTTCAACTGTAAATTGAAATAAATTTAGGGAAAGATAAAGCTTTTCTGTGAATGTGCAGTTGGATTCCAGAAGATGCTGTATCATGAGGAAAATTAGACAAAGCATTGAAAGAATCTAAATGTGCAACATTAATAATTGTAAGTATTATATATGATAAATTATGTTCCAATTCAGAATTAATTGCTGAACAATATTGTAAGGTAAAATAAAATGCACAGATCATGGAGGGATGACTAAGAAATTGTCTGAAGTCCAGGTATTGGAGAAAGTTTGTAAAACTCTAATTCCTTCTTGCTTTCCGAGTTGCTGATGAAGAGCAATTTGTTCAGGTCTATAATTCTTTCAATGTCAGAAGTCGGACGACACCAGCTTGTAGTCCAACAGGTTTATTTGAAATCACAAGCTTTCGGAGTGTTGCAGCTTCATCAGGTGAAGTGAGAAAGAAGTACACAGGCACAGAATTTATAGGCAGAGAAATCAATGAGCAGAGAGATCAAAAGATCATACAAATGGCGTGAGTGGAGCGTCAACAGGTCAAGGTCGAATAATAGGTCTCAGCAAGTAATCAAGTGTCAGGTGGTGTGAATAAAGTGTCAACAGCTGAATAACAAGCGAAGGGTAAGCTTTAATCTGATTAAATAAGGAAGAGAGATAATTACAAAAAATTTTTTAAAAACAAAGGGCGTACTGGAGACAAATCAAATGACTGGAATGACAAAATAGGTATAAGTCACATGCCAAGGGTCTAACCAAAGTAACAAGTAATCTAAAACTGTACAAACTAATTAAGATAGAGAGATCATAAGAAGATATCAAGGTGATGGTGTCAAAATGGGACAGTACGGAATATTTTACAGATACAAATGTGTGGTAGGGTCGCATGTAGTGAGACATAAACCCAAGATCACGGTTGAGGTCGTCTTCCTAGCTACAGAACTTTGTTATCAGTCTCTGCTCTGCGATTCTGCGTTGTGTATCTCTAAAGTCCCCTTGAAGGACACTTATCCAAAGATCGGAGGCTGAATGTCCCTGACCGCTAAGGTGTTCCATGACTGAGAGAGAACATTCCTGTCTGGTGATTGTTGTGCAGTGTTCGTTCATTCATTGTCGTAGCATCTGCATGGTCTCACCAATATACCATGCCTTGGGGCATCCTTGCCTGCAGCATGAGAGAGACAACATTGGCCAAGTCACATGAGCATCTGATCACGTATGTGGTGGGTAGTGTCTGTATTGATGATCTGACATGTCTTGCAGAGATTGCCGTGAAAGGGCTGTGGGCTATTGTGATCGATGTTGTCCTGAAGGCTGGATAGTTTGCTGCGAATTGTGGTCTGTTTAAGGTTTGGCAATTGTTTGAAGGTAAGAAGTGGAGGCAGAGGGACGACTTTGGCGAGTTGCTCGTCGTCATCAATGACACATTGAAGGCTGTGAAGAACATGGCATAGTTTCTCTTCTCCAGGGAAGTACTGGATGATGAAGGATACTCTATTGGTTGTATCCTGTGTCTATCTTCTAAGGAGGTTGTTGCAGTTTTTTGCTGTGGTACAAAAGTACTGGCAATCGATAAGTTGAGCATTGCATCCTATTCTTATGAGGGCATGCTTCAAAATCTTTAGGTGTGCATCGTATTCCTCCTCATCTGAGCAGATCCTGTGTATATGCAGGGCTTGTCCGTAGGAGATGGCTTCTTTAACATCTTTAGAGTGCAAGCTAGAGAAGTGCAGCATCATGAGATTATCCGTGGGCTTGCGGCAGAGTGAGGTACTGAGGTGTCGGTCTTTGATGGAGATATGTGTGTTGAAGAATGAGATTGATACTTGAAGAGTAGTCCATGGCAAGTCTGGTAGGATGAAACTTGTTGATATTGCTATGTAGTCATTTCAGTGATTCCTCACCATGAGTCCAAAGGAATAAAATGTCGTCGATGTATCTGGTATATAGCACTGGTCGGAGGTCCTGTGCAGCAAAGAATTCTTGTCTATGAAGATGTTGGCATATTGGGGTGCAAATTTGGTCTCCATGGCTGTTCTGTATCTGGATGAAGAGCTGGTGTCAAAGGTTAAGACGTTGTGGCCAAGGATAAAGCGGATGAATTGTAGGGTGGCATCTGGAGATTGGCATTTGTTGGTATTGAGTACTGAGACTGTTGCAGCAATGCTGTCATTATGGGGGATGCTGGTGTAGTGTGCCAAAATGTCCGTTATGACGAGGAATGATCCTGGTTCGACTGGTGTGGGTGCTGAGATTCTGGAAGAGATCTGTAGTGTTTCAACAGACGCTGGAGGTTCCTTGTACAAGCAGTTTCAAGATGCCCTTGACATAGCCAAACCTTAAACAGACCATAGTTCGCAGGCAACTACCCAGCCTTCAGGGCAACATTGACCACACAATCCTGCCACGGCAACCTCTGCAAGGCATATCGGATATTCAACATGAATGCTACCATCATGTGAGAACACCACCCACCACATACACGGCTGATACTCCACCCAGTGTTGCTTATCTCATATGCTGCAGGCAAGGAAGCCCCAAGGCATGGTGTATTGGTGAAACCATGCAGATGCTACGACAACGGATGAATGGACACTGCACAATAATTGCAAGACAGAGATCTTCCCTCCCAGTCGGGGAATGCTTCAGCGGTGGAGGATATTTAGTATCCAATCTTCAGGTAAGCATCCTCTAAAGCAACCTTCAAGATACACAACAACGCAGAATCGCCGAGCAAAAATTGATAGCCAAGTTCTGTACCCAGGAAGACTGCCTCAACTGTGATCGTGGGTTTGTGTCATGCTGCATGTGACCCCACTACATTGTTCCATATCTGTAAAATCTTCCTTACGGTCCTGTTTTGACACCATCACCTTGATAAATTATGATCCCTACCTTAATTATTTGTACAGTTTTGGATTGCTTATTACTTTGGTTAGACCCTCGGCATGTGACTCTTATATCTATTGTCATTCCAGTCATTTGGTTTGTCTCCAGCACCCCCTAATGTTTTTTAAAAAAATTTTTGTAATTATCTCTCTGCCTTATTTAATCAGATTAAAGGCTATCCTTCGCTTGTTATTCAGCTGTTGACACTTTACTCACACCATCTGACACGCTCGATCATTTGCTGAGACCTTTTATTCGACCTGTTGACAATCCACTCACACCATTTGTATGATATTTTGATCTCCCTGCTCACTGATTTCTCTGCCTATAAATTCTGTGCCTGTGTACTTCTTTCTCACTTCACCTGATGAATGGACAGCACTCTCTGAAAGCTTGTGATTTCAAATAAATCTGTTTGAGTATAACCTGATGTCATCTGACGTCCACAGCCATCCAAGACCAGTACTTCCACATCATGGTTACCATTCTTTTAGTATTTCTTCTCCAGACATCAGAGAGGCTCTGATTGGAGTATTTGTCTCAACTAAGTTGTGAGCCATACTGTTTCTGTAAGCAGCGTGTCTTTAAGTGATTACTATTCTTCATGCGTTAAAGGTGTTTTACTAGTCAACTGGCTAATGTTGTCCCTGATGACATGTCTTGCAGGTTTTTCATGGAACAGAACAATCGGATCTTCCAGATGTTGCTGGAAGTGTCAGCATGCCAAGATAAAACACTTACAGCTGACCATGTAAGGAGTATGGGGCTGGATCCCCAGGGGGATCGCATCTTCCTGATGGATTTACTTGAAGTTTATGGGATTGACGTGATGTTGGTTATTGACAATCCTTGTTGCCCGTGATCCAAGTGAACTTTGACTAGTGAACTGCTGTATGAACTGGACAGGACCAAGATGAGAGGTTTGAATGGATACATTGAGTTTAAAATAACCAAGTGCACTTGCACCATGACTTGCCACCATCTCTTGAATTGTGCGCAGGTCAGTTCATGGGTCACTTGTTTTGGCTCTTCAGTTATCTGTGTATTTAAAGATTGTTGGAGAATTAACCAGTGGAAGAAATCAGAACGGTTTCACTGAAAGAAAAACCCAATTGAAGGAAATTTTATTTATTTGTAGTTTTGATTTTTCCTTTTTTTTGTAATTTCTGAATGTGTTTTATAACTAGCAGCTGTGAATTAGCACATACACATGCATGAATGCATTTGTGAATTTATTTTAGTACATCAGAGACTCCATACTACACCACTGTGAAATGTAGTAAGCCTTTCCTGTTTATGTTTCAACCAAGATTGCATTCTTCTTTTCAGTAGGTCCTTAGTTTGATTTTCATTAGCCGCTCTGCTTAATGGCTTGCAATGGCTCATTCCCTTTTAAATTCTGAATATTTTTTCTTGAATAGGTATTTAAAATTGTCCCTTTGCACAATTTTTAAGACTTATTGGCCTGTAGTAGGTGACTTTGACATCCACATGAAAACAAATTTAATCACTTAGTTACATATCCTATTACAGTGTATTGTTATTAATTTGATTGGAGACTCAGCATTTCAAATGCAGGGAATGGGAGGAATTTTCTGATCCAGAATAGTTCTCTCTGGTGACAGAGTCTTCTGCAAACTCATGTTAAACAAATTCAGCAATTGTTTGAATGTTTGACTGCATCTTGTACCTTGCTGTTAAACAGCAATAACAAGGGAATGTTGGAGCCTGCTTATGGAGTGATCAATATTTTAAGTTAGAAAAACAGTTCTCAGTGCTACCTGTAAGGCGGTTGCATGCTTTTCACCAAGCCTTTGCATCTTCAGCTGTTTGCTCAAGATGAGAAATGGTATTGCTGTACTCCAAGCTGCCACCTTAATTTTTGTTTAGAATTCTTTGAAATGTTTGTACTGCTTTTGACATTCATTTAATGAGCAGAAAAATTAAGATCAAATTTAAAGTGACATTTGAAAAAATAAATTCTAAATAGTACTTAGGCATGTACAAAATAGAAGGACTAAGTAACGTTTTGAAGAAAGGTCTTGCGTAAGAAAAGAAAATGGTAAAGAATGTTAAAATAATTGCAGAAATGTTGAGGCTTGGATTAAAACAAAAGGCAGAATGAAGGGGTGGTGGAGATACAAAATAAGTATTCATCTCTTTTTCAGTGTTTTTGTAGGAATGAGAGGGTAAGAGGAGGAGGTGGGTGAACCATTTGGAGGGGACAACTGTAGATAAGGAAGTACTAAGAAAAATTGGTGAAACTCAATGATAAATCAGTTATAGACTGGTTGGGCTTGCATTATATGCTGACAAGTTTTGAAAGCTGGGCATTGTTACTCCTCTGTAAGATGTGCTCAAAGTTAAGGGTTTTGATATAGAAAAATGATGCAAACTATTTCAGCTGCTTGGTGAACCTTTAGCTGGAAGGTATCAAATTAGGCAGATCAAAAAAAACGAAGTTGGTTTTGGGAACACTCTTTCTCTAATTGTGCTTTAATATGTAAAACCCAAATTGAATGTTAAACCGAGAAATGAATAAATGTTTTAAAGGACAGTTGGATGGAATACAATGAATAGTCGAGAGGTACAGGGCCAATTTAGAGTGATATCTTTGTTCTGTAAAATTGAAGTTTAATATATAGATTGAATAAAAATAAGAATAGTTAAGTACCTACAGGATATATTCTCATTCTTTAAAAGTACTGTATTATAATAAAAATTACAGCAAGAAGGCTTGTCAACTTTAAACAATTATCTCCTTTCTTTATCTTGTATTCACTTGCAAATGTGTAATTCAGGTTGCTTCCTGAGATTATCACAATTTACAAAGTGGAACATTTTACCACTAGTGACTATTTAAATGTGACTGAGATTTCGTTTTGCCATACTAGAGGTAATCCTGAGTTAAGCTCCTTAATATGTACCAACCTGTCAAAACAATTCACTCTTGCAAAACCTTCTCAGAGTTTTCAAACATCTCTTAGATTCAAGGGATTTTTAAAAAACTTTCCGGTCAGTTAAGATTCTGAATTTTTCAACACTGTCCTAATCAATATCATTTCATTTCCTTGAGCAATTTTAATGGATATTGACCAAAACTTGCCATAGCTCTAATATTTTAATAGGAATGTTCAGAACTCTAACTAAAGCCTACAACTTGGTTTTCCAAACAACGCATGTTTAAAATTGATGTTACTTTGTTTAAAACCCTTCGTGGTATTATTCTATGTGCATTTACACAATAAAGGAGTAGGTTATGCCTTACAAATCATTTGGAGCTCATGAAGTGGTTCTTGATTTATTGAACAGGAATTGTGTCACAGGTATCTTTTTGTCAAATTTTAAGGACAGTTAAGGCTCATGAAAGTAATGATGAGCTGGATAGTGTTATTGAAAATTGTCAATAAACTTAAAATCCCCTGGAAGAGGATAGGGTGGCATTTTGGCACTAGCAGCAGCGCAGAGCCATAATCCAGGAAGGATCATAAGCATCACTGTCCATTAGAGAGAATCAGTGGTTACACATACCTTTTGAGGATAGCCACTCTCCAAGAATGGAGGAAGGTGAGGAGGCAAAGCCTGTATGGGGATCGACCCTGTGCTGTAGGCTTTAACTGAACCTGTCAGTAATGATATGGCAGGGGCTGCTGTAGCAATAAAATTTTACAGTCGGCCAAAGCAAATACCATTACTGACAAATCGAAGGGAATTAAAAGTATTCAAATGGCTCTAAACAAATTGAAAAATGGTATAATGAATGTCACTGACCTTAATGTCAGTAAAGTAATGCACATTAGAATATGGAAACTGTCTTGTCAGTAAATGCCCATTAGTAAAGTATGAGAGATTTGTGTGATTATTGACCTTACTTCAATTAGCCAATCAATATTAAACGCATCAGAGGACTAAGTATAGGAAAACTCTCAAGGGCATTTGAGTAAGTTGTTAAGGTCATACCAAAAATACTGTTAGATTCCATGCCCCACCTTTCAGGAATTAATCCTTTTTATTTGCATGTTGGGAATGTTGGCACTTCATTACATATACAGTTGCACTGCCACACATGCCCCTGACTTGAAAATTCAAATCTAGAATTTTATATGAAATGATGAACTTTTAATATATAACCACAGATGCTGTAGTATGGAGTATCTGGTGCATTTTCTCACCAATCACTTTTGAAGGCAAGACTTGTGTTTTTTTTAATTTAAATTTTAGAAATAGTGTTATCATCCAATAATTTTATGTCTTTAAAACGTAAGATTCTGCTCCAGGTGTTGGGAGACCAAGATTAGGTTTCATTTTTGATTCTGTGAGCATCAATACTTTAATCTGTAAAATTCATTCCATTGTAGATATTTTTAATGGTGACTTGCACTCTGTTTCTGTCCGGAGCTGTAATTGGGAAGGGGGTGACTTTTATTGCTGGATTGAAGGGTACGTTTAATGCTGGATTGATGTTGATAGTACATTGAATTTATGTGAGCTGCACTTTGCCTACCATGAGTTTGGAGCCTAAACTGCATTATGTAGCTAATCCAAGTGATCATTTTTGTTTACATTTGTGGTCCACCTGTTAGTTTTCAGTTTGTGTGTGTTGTAGTACTAGATTACAAAAAGTATATGGTTACTACATATGTACATTTGCAAACATTTTGTCATTGAGAATGGACAGTAAGTTTTTCTACCTCTCCCTGCCAGCCAGGGCTGAGTGAATTTTTTCCTTAGCCACATTGTTAATTTAATATTGGGAGATATGTTTAAGCCTAGCACATGAGAGCTACACCAATCCACTTGTGTTTATTGATACAATTGCTGAATTAACACCTATCGCAACTTATTTCATCTATTCAATGATGTTTCTGAGCATTGGTGTGATTTTCTTTTGGTTTAGCTGTATTTAAGGATATCTTTGACACCTGGCTAGATCTCCTGGTGCTACCAACATGAATAACATTTCTGCCAGTGAAGCATTTAATTCTTTTATTCCTTTGCATTAATATTTCTTAATGTTAAAAGGGTGCAGTGAAGCAGCAATAACCAACTTGTATTATAAAGAATATGACCAAATTGATGGATGTATGATTACGACTAAAATATTCCTATCGTAGTTCATGTTTATTCTGCACTGATAAGTGATGATACAGTGTATAAGATCCAAACCAACGCTGCTGTTGTATAGTATGTCCAAGTATTGAACATGTAACCAGGTATTGTAGTCTTTTGTATAGTATTGCCTGGTCTGTCTTAACTGTACACTCTGAACTATTCAAAGTTGCATGGACATGAGGTAAACGGTAACTTTAAAAACATGATCACACAATCTGAACATAGCATTTGTGTACGTTCTATATTTTAAATCCTCACCTCTTAATTTTTAACACTAATTTTGAAGTCTTCTATTTACGGTTATAAACAGTCATCTTGGACAGTAAATTATCTATTTTGACAGCATTTAATGGTCTCTTTCACTTTATTGCACTGGTGTGACACGAATCATGTGATTTGATGTATCCAGCCACGGGTGAATCCACACAACTGGTGACTCAGTCTGAGATCTTACTGCACAATGATCAACTTTCAGAACCATTTTAACTAAAGCGATATTGTAATCCAGTCATTTCCATACATGAAAAAGAATATGTACACACCAACATCCATGACGTCTTAGTTCCTAATAACATGATCCCATTGAATGACAAAGCAGGCTCGAGGAGTTAAATGACCTCATCTTTTCTTATCTCTTAAGGGCTTGTGGAGCTTTTTATTTGCTTTCATTATTACTTTCTGACTTTTTTTTTGAAAGAAGCTTGATAGAAAACTTCAAATTTTGGAAACAAAATGGATTTTAGTAAATAGTTTTGTGACGTTTTTGGCAAAGTGTTTGTGTACTCACCAATACACTTGGATCAAACCCCCTAGCGTTCAGATTGTATTTAATTTTGTACTAGTACCTAGAAATTGTTCTTCCTCCGTTTACTGTAGAAGCTGAAAGCCTGCAGCTAGTGTCCTATGGAGGAAAGGTAAGTAACTTTTTGTCCTTGGGCATTGATTGGGTCGATAATAACAGACATTGATATACCTACCTTATGTCAGTGGGGAAAGGGAAATATGAATTGGTAGTTTTTTGTTTTAATTTTGAAAACTTTGAAAAGATGGCTGTTCTTTTTTCACTGCCTCCACTCTTTGATACTGTGTTAGCTTCACAAAAAAAAATGAAAGGTTATAGCCTGCTCAGTTTTGAAATTTTCATTATCTATTAAGGTGCAGCGGTATTAATTGACATTGACATTGACGTTAATCAATATGGTATAAGGAGAGAGATGAGAAAGCTATACTGCCTCTGCCAATAGTCTGTTGGGATCTTGGTGGAAACCAAGGCTGTGAACTTGATCATGTTATGAAATTTTAAGATTTTAGATTCAAGGTTCTTACTGTTATGCCTGAGATTAAGAAATGCTGTGGTTGCAGAGGGAGCCTTAAAATGTTTTATAAGGTGCTGTGAAATTTATCTGTATTTCATTGTTAGGATTAGAAGAACATAGAATGGAAAATTTGGATTTTTAAAAGAAGGTACCTGCTGTTGAAATTACTAAAAGGGACTTGGTTTTTTTTTAATAAAAGGTGTATGTGAAGAGATGTAAATTTCTCAATGTTTTCTGTGGATGATTTTGTACTCTGTAAATCTGGATAGATGTGCCTAATATATTTTCTAATTAAAAGTTATCCATAGCAAATCTTACTTCTGTATCAGATCTGGTCTATTGTCAGTGCTACTCACGTTTAAGCCACAATATGCACCTGTAATAGTGTCTCTTTTTTAAGTTAGCCTGTTCACAAAGCACTGCATGTATAACATTGTATTCAAATTTATTGCAGCTTGTCCTGTAAAAAAAGTGCATGCAATCTAAATTAGAAACAGATGATGAAGGTGGCTGGAATGATCGGTTGGAGATTACAAATCTTCAAGTTTGGTTTTATTAGGCAGCTTCAGTGCTTTTTACAAAACCCATCGTGACCTTGTGTACAAGGTATAGGGAAAAATCTGTTCTTGTTTCTGTATTCAGCATTGTCAAGCCATACGGATCACCTAAGGTTCACATAAATCCTCAACACTGTTAGAGTTTAACTCCTTTGAACAGTAAGGAGATAAAAACAAATATTAAAGGTAAATGGCCTCCATTGTCATTCTGGAAATTTGTGGTACACACCAGTATTACTTAGTCTGCATGGAATACAAGTGAAACCTAACATCCATGGCTTCTGCATTGTCTCCTAGACACATGTTACTACTGTCACATGTTCAAATAGCAGCATGGACTTGTACAGTGCCGCTGTTTAATAAAATACCCCAATGTGCCTAAAAGCACAATAAAATGGACCTTCTCTGAAAGGGGATGTTAGAAGTGACTAAAGATTGCTATATTAGGCTTAGGTTGTAATGAAGGTTTTAAAGTTTCAAAAAGTGAATTGTGAAGTTTTGGGCCTGAAAACAGTTGACAGAAATGGAGTAAAGATGAGATTTTATGCCATTGGATCGAGAAGTAGTAGTGGGGCTGGTGGGGGGGAAGAGGTAAATGACTCAGTGGAAGATTTTAATCATGGCAGGTGGAAGTCACAAAGGCTGGGTGACAAGTGGGCATGTAGGACAAAAAGGTTGAGCTCGCTGAGTTACGCATAGACATGCATAGAAGCATTGAAGGTGATGCGAGGGAATAGAGACAGCACGGAAAAATAGTGGAATGAGCAGAAATGCTGTTCTGTACTTCAACAGTAAAAGTGCTGCTACTGAAGAGTTGAGAAATATGAGCTTGGATTTGATATACATTGAAGTCAGTGTAGGTTATAAATGGGAGCACGAAAGATATAGATGGATTTCAGTCTTATTTGAACTGTAGTGACTCCTGTAAAGTGCTTTAGGCATCTTATGGTTATGAAAGAGACTAATGTGAATGTTTATTGTAAGTTTAAGAATTAAAATTTGCATTAAATGTAAGTAATTAGTGTTCTCTCCAGAGTAATAAATGCCTAATAAAGAAATTTAGAATGAGCATTGGGGCTGATTTAACCAATGGATGCAAAGGTAGGAGTGATGAGGAAATGGCACTTGGAAGGAATAGAATGCAGCCATCAGAGTTTTTAAGTGAGCTAATATTATGCAGGTTAGGAATCAGCCATACAGCACTGGTGTAATAGATGTTGGAGCTGATACGCATGAAAATCTTTGCATCAGATTGATCTGTGGGCCTAAACGAACCTATATTCCACTGTGGGAACATAGTATTCAAGACAATTTCAGCTTTAACCCTTCAGAAGGCTAAGCAAATTCAGCATATCCTCATTGACTCTCACCAGTTTTTATAGATGCATCATAGAAAGCATCCTAGCTGCATGCATCACAGCTTGGTATAGTAACTCATCTGCCCAAGACCACAAGAAATTACACAGTTATGAATGCAGCCTAATCCATCATGAAAATCAGCTTTCCATTCCTTTGACTCCGTCTACACTTCCTGCTGCCTCGGGTTAGCAGCGAACATAATCTAAGACCCCTCCCACCCCGGTTATACCCTCTTGTACCCTCTTCCATCAGGCAGAAGATACAAAAGTTAGAGAAAACATTACAGCAGATTCAAGAACAGCTTCTTTCCCGCTGTTATTAGATTTACGAATGGACTTCTCCTTGATTTTTCTCTGCACCTTCTGTATAGCTATAATGCTGTATTCTGCATTCCTGATGTACTTAAGGTATGATTTGTCTGGTTAGCACACAAACGGTACTTTTCACTGTCTCAGTACATATGATAAATCAAATCAAATCCCCAATCCACATTTTGTAGAAATCTCTTAAATCATTTAGTTTTCAGATATCTTCCAAATTTGATGAATCAGTAAAGGGAATCTAACCTGCTCTTGGGCATAACAGAAAACTTTCTTGAAATTTGGACTGTAATCTTTAAAGAACAAGGTTACAAAAATAGACAATGCATTTATGAAGAAGAGTCTACCAGACTCAACATTGTATATCACTCTCCATAGATGCAGCCAGAGCTATTTAAGTTTCTCCACTGCTATGACAATGGCTTTGTCCTCCCAATGTTCATTCAAAGCAAATTTCTGCTGTTCCAATGCTGGGTGGTTAAACATCAATTTGACAATTTAGCGACATTGGAGGAGTCAAGAGATGAAACTGGAAGTCATCGATATTTGTATGAAAATTAATGCTATGTTTTTAGATTATGTTGCCAATGGGCAGTATGTCTGTCTCCTGGGTTTCTTGTTTCTCTGGTTTTACCTCTTGCCAGTGTTGGCTAGTATCTGGCGTTGTTTATACTCCGCGTAGTCCCAAAAAAGTTACGTTACGTAGAATTCCGACGATAACGTACGCAAAGGGACAGCATGTGTGCAGTAAAGGAATGTGCTATTGAAAGAGTTCAGTGGAAGCGGGGTCCACTTTGTCTTCCCTCAACCCCACCTCCACAGCCACATCTGTTTAAGTGCTCACCCACCAATTCCAGTAAGTGCGCATCCTTGAATTTAAGCAGTGCATAGTGCACATGTATATGCTGTCAATAGAATGCCTTCTTCCTCGCATCTGTCTTATCTTTGCCTCTTTCTCGCGAATATTGCTGACTCTGTTAAGATTGACAGTGTGCCTCACCTTTTGAAATTGACATGAGTAGGCTGCTTAGATCAGTAGCCACAAAATTATTGCTCCCAACTGAAAATGCTGCACTGGGGGACAAAGAAATACTTGCACCACAACAACAAATTTGGTTTTCTAAAAAGATTTTTTTTCTTGTGACCCTGAAAAGATTACGCTGGCTGCAGTAAGTGCAGACCGTACTAGCATTTTCCCATTCTTCCATTGCACATCCATATCTACAGTTTTACCAGGTCCACATTCCACAGCAACCTGAACTGCTAGATGATTGGCTAGTTCATAAAAGCGATGCCAGCTATGCTTCAGGGGATGCTACAGAACACGGCTTTTATTTCGTATGGATAAAAATGAAATAAATGTATCACCAAGGGTGGTCAAACTTTTGTGTGGTGGGAAAGGCAACCGTAATCCATGTGAATTGAGGCAGTGGGGGCGTAGTTCATGTGGAATGAGAAGGCCCCTGAACAATGAACTGCAGGAAGCTTAAGCATGATCTGTCATCTCCCGGACAGAATAGATGAGCTGTAGGATATTGATGGCACACTTCCAGGAACAGTTCCTGAGCTTCACCCTCCATACAATAGATTGCTAAATACATGCAAATATGAGTTCTTGTTTCAGAGTACAGCATCCAGGTGAGTAAAAAAAGGAAGACCTTTCTGTTTTGCAGACCACCTAAGCCATGAATTTTGAAGACCAGTACTGTTCAGATCAGATCATTGCAGATGAGTGAAGATCATGTCCCCATTGATTAACGTAAGCATAAAGATAGTGCCCGCGAAGTTCCCTTCTACACTTCCGTTGCTGGGATGGTAATTATTCTCTCAATACACCAAGAAATGGTTCCTAAAGTACCTCTAGTATGGTATAGATGTGATGTTTGAAATAGCATGTTTTCCAGTGGTCCTTTATTTACAATACTTCAGTCTGCATAATTTCCAGACTTCCAAGGCAGAAAATTGATGTCAAAATGCCAAAAGAAAATGTTCTTGGACCGAAGACAACCTCGATGTTTATCAAGACTCTCTGTGGAGCTAGTGTTCTGCAATGGATTGATCTGGGATAGTTTCTGCCTGCTTTGTTGTTGGACAAACTCCCGTACTCAAACTGGCACCTTCTCCTGTTAAGCTCAGTGCTGTTAAAGCGAATCTCTACATGCACGCATTTGTGTATACTCTTGATAACTGCTATTTCAACATCTTTAAATACCCTTTCACCTCTTTCTGTCCTACCACCTTATGGCATTTATTGTGCTTGTACCTATGACCTATATTCTCCCCTTTTTTTTTTCCTCCCCATTTGCAGCTTTCTATTCCCACCCACCTCCAACAAAAGTAGATAAGTGCCAAAGCATTTTTTGAAGATGGACCTGAATAAAGCAAGAAAAACAACTCACAGCAAAACGGGCCCTGTTGAGGGGGAGAGGAATGCAAGAGTTACAACCCTTTGAACCAACGCTGACATCAGCGCCACTGCCACCACCTCTAGTCTCGTGCTGCACTTGCTAACATTGAAGTCATACTCTTTTTTTGGTTTCTTTCATTTGTTTGCCATGTCTTTTTTGATAGAGTTGTCCTTTATTACATGGCTGTGCGTACTTATGATTTAGATTTTTATCAAACCTGCTTTCAGATTCTTTGAGTGTTGCAATTAATGTTGCTCTATGTATCTTTTAAATCATTGCATGAATGCCAAATTTGTATTACTGGTGTTGCAATCAGTATTTCTGTATTATTTCTTGTTTTATTGGTGCCACAAACACTATAGCTTGTGGAATATTTGTCTCAAATGCAAAATTGCTGGAAGAACTCAGCAAGTCTGGCAGCTCCTGAGAGAAATCAGAGTTAACATTTCAGGTCCAGTGATCCTTCTTCAGAAATGATGTAGCTGGGAAAATGTTGGTATTTATGTAGATGATGGGTTGGAGGAGTGGGGTAGAGCGTGGAGTAAACCCTTTCCCTCAGGGACACCTTGGTCCATTCCTCCTTCACTCCCAAACATTCCCACAGCGCCATGGCACCTTCCCCCAGCAATCGCAGGTGTATCACCTGTCTGTTTACTTCCTCCCTCCTCACTAT